TATATTTTGTGAACGAATTAAGTAAAAAGAATCCTCTGTCATTCTTAATTCTAAATTGATGTTTTAAAATTTCCTGTGTTTAACAGCAAAGAAATTGTTTTTTTTTTGTAATTTATAAATAATATAATTTAGTTAGAAAACATTATTGTAGCACGTTTATTCATTAGAATTTTTAACTCTTAAATATTGTCAGAATACAAGGCAACAACTAATGAAAAAAACTGGTAAAGGATAGAAGAACCGAAGTACTGCAGCAACAATATTTTTAATCACGAGGGGTGGAGGTAGGCGGACACTACCAACGATATTACGGTTTGATGAATATCGTATACAAACTACTTAATTGCTACGTATGTAAACAGAAGACAACAGTAGAGAATCGATTCGGGCCGAAGTAGTGTGCTACTGTGTCCTGCCAAAGTGATTACGTGAGAGTTAAGATGCGAGCCGTGGTCCTATACAAACCTCGGGCGTTGGCCTCACTGACGGCTTGTCGTATCTCGTCGACGAGGTCATTGGTGAGCTGCACGGGGTCCGGGTGCGGGGGCGACGAGCCCGCCGCCAGGCGCCGCTCGCGCTCCGCGAGCACTTGCTTCAGTTGCTCCGCGAGGGACGCTGGCGGACCTAGCCCATCAGATTCAATAATAACTCGCTAGTGTATAACCCGCGCGCATAGAGAACGGACCGTGAATTCATTGAAAAGGAGTGTAATACGTTATTTCAACTGCCACTGTCTACAATACCGTTTACAACAGTAAACTTTATTTTTCAGATTTTAAGGCCGCATTTTAAAATCACATTCTGGCCGCGAGCAAATTATACCATAGATTCAACCTTTAAGACGATAATTTGTCATTCCCGTCATGACTAGATAACTACATTAAAACTTGGTATATATATCCGCTTCTTCGGTTAGGTGACTATATAGCAACCTCATTATTAAAATCATCTACCTAATTTATCTCTTACTCTGTTCTAGTTTCAATATATACGAACCGGGACCATCGATATTGAGAACTGTATTATTACTTATTGATATTGACTTTTAAGCGTGGCAAGCTTGTTGCTGCATCTACGTAGTTATTATTTAATCTCATGCATGCTACTAATACAATCTTATATGTGAAGGCTTATGTTTTAAGCACAAGGCGATATCACAGGACGGTATTAATCACGTTCACATGGGTATATCCAACAGTTTCTCTAAACTGTAGGTAGGTTTGTTATGGATCTGGCAGGTTAAAACATGAATTTTAGGGATTACATAAGGTGTACTTTGCCTAATAAAACGACACGTACGTACACCTATTGTAATCTATGTATTGCACATCCACAATGATGCGTAAAGCTATTAAAAAATATTAAACATACCCGAGAGAGGATGATGTCTATGGTCTCTAGAGTACACCGCGTCATCGGTAGTGCTGCCTATAGAGCTTCCACAGCTCTGACGTGTGTCACGATGTTGCTGCGAGTATAACATTTAGAATTAATTGATAAAAAAATAAAAAATAAAGTAAAATTAAAAATATAGTTTTTCAATAAAAGAACCTCCTATTCATAAGAATCCGCCCTAAATACAAGGATCTCAATTTAAACTGCGACTGCACGAATGGCGTAGTGGTTTAAGCGGTCGCCACGACGCTTCCTACTGCGCCGAGTGTTGTGGGTCCAAACCCCACATGAGACAACACTTTACTTGATCCACAAATTGTTATTCTGAGTCTGGGTGTACTTTGTGTCCGTTTCATGTATGTTTGTAAAGTCCCCCGCGACACAGGATATATTCCTAGTGCTGGAGTTGTCTTTTTAAGAATATAAAAAAAACACCCGCTCAAGGTTGTTAGTACGTAAAAATTAAACGATGATTTTTGGCAAATATGAAATATTTCATCTTTATTAGGCAAACCGCTCAAGAGTTGAATGGATGACCTGCTTCCCTATACATATACTGAGTCTATTCTGCAATGGCTGCAATGACTAGGTCTCTCTTAGACAAACGTGTTTCTTAGTATATCATCATTACAAGGTATTGTGCTTAGCCATGACTCAACTGCTTAACATTTCAATCCGACATAATGTTATACATTGTACAGAAACAATTCGATTTTAAAATTCTCTTATTTCAAACTGTCTCATAATTCATTCATATTGATAATATCATTACTAATTGGTTAATTTTAAACTTTCAGATATCCACAAAAAAGTACCTCAGTATTTGTAAATATGCAATTTAAATAAATAGTCTAAAATATTAACAGAGAAGAAAGCCGCTTTACTTAATTTGACAATAAGAACAATACTTACAGAGTTCACGTGAGGTGGTCCTCCCGAGGTCGATTCACTTAACGATTCATCTGCCGAATCATTGTATGAATCATCGAGCCCGTCATACTAGAAATAAATATTATTGAAAATTCAGTTATTTTAATCTACAATTTGTGTTTATAAAGTATTTTGTCATCGTGGGTAGTCAGCCGAGCGACGTTTGCGCGGGGATAACAGAAAAAAAATGTAGGACGTATACGTACGGAGCTGGCGTTGCTGAGCGAATGCGGCGAGTGCGGCGAGTGCGCGGCGTGGTGGCGGTGGCGCGCCAGGTCCGTGCGCGCGCGGTGCGCCGACGTGTCCAGCAGCGCGCCGCGCGGCACGGCCGCGTCCAGCTCGCGCGACGCGCCGCTGCCCCCGCTGCCGCCGCTGCTCGGGGCCGCCCTGTGACCACACGCTCCTACTTCACACATCTCACACACGGCAGTCTCACTCCTAACTATGCAGAGCCCGTGCTATGGTTACGAGACTGCTTATAGACATAATCATATATTTGTAAATACATCCATATTTTAGACTAGCTGACCCGCGCAACTTCGTCTGCGTCTCTCAATAGTAATAAATTTTCTACGTTTTTGAAACATTCTACATTGGTGCTCCGCTCCTATTGGTCTTAGCGTGATGATATATAGCCTATAGCCTTCCTCGATAAATGGGCTATCTAACACTGAAATATTTTTTTAAATCGGGCCAGTAGTTCCTGAGATTAGAGCGTTCAAACAAACAAACAAACAAACTATTCAGCTTTATAATATTAGTATAGATAAATTACACCCAGACACAAAACATGATGGTACTGTTTACACAATTATTTGTCCTATCACTAGCGACCCACAGGCTACATCATAGATAGATCAACAGGCCAGTCTATCTACACCACAGATTACCCCCTAATAGATTCCGCATTATTGAATATTTGTTCCGCTTCGGGTTCACCAGATTTGGCGGTATGCAAGTGTTGAGGGGGACGTGTCAAATGCGCTGTGATTGGATATTTCAAAGTCAAACATGAAATGCACCAAACCATAGTGATGGGGCAGGGTTGCGACGTTGATCAATCAAATGGTTTGATGATCTGATTTATATATTTACAGAGGTTACAACTTCAAATATGATGCACGGATGGCGTAGTAGTTTAAGCGGTCGCCACACCGCTTCCAACTGCGTTGAGTGATGTGGGTTCGATCCTCACATGGGACACTTTGTGTGACCCACAAATTGTTGTTCTGAGTCTGGGTGTTCTTTATGACCGTTTCGTGTATGTTTGTAAAGGCCTCCGCTACACAGGAATATATATTCCTAATTCGGGAGTTGTCTTTTAAAAAAAATAGATCCCTGTCATCCATATTTACGATATTTTTGTAAAAATCCTGCCAGTTACATTACACTTTGCACAAAATCATATCCGAAACTATAGTAGATAAAAGAACGTGAGTTAGACAGAAAAAAATGAAGTCTTTTTCTAAATATTTCTATGTAAAAATCACAAGAAGGGTACAACTCGACTTAAAGTACTCTTACTCATCACAGGACAAATTGTATATTTGATTTTTTAATAAATATTTTACTGATTTTTAAAATGGATAAGCTTAGTATAAAAACAACAACAAAACAGTCTCACAGAATCCTTAGGATCTGTCTTCTTTGTCTTCCTACAGCTTTCTACGGTTTTTCATAATATGAAGAATGTCTTCTGTGAAGTGTCTTGAGCATATCACACCATTTCGGTTGAAAACTAATCGAAAAGGTGTAGATCGACGCAAATTGTTACATCTTTTGGGGCATTTAGGAAACCAATAACATATACCACAATGATACGCAACTATTTTTACAAAATAATGACTTCATTAAAAAAAAAAGGATGATCAAACAAATAGCGACCTATAAATTACAACACTATCGATACACGTGCTTTTATAAGACAAAGACAACTATTGTAATTTACGTAATGAGTGAGAGGGATATTTCAAAAAGACGTCAATGGGTGCTTAATTTTTATTACTTTGCAGAATTATAAGTTGAACTCATCATTTAAAACAGGTTAACGTGATAAAATTTACTTACCGATGAAACGTTTATACCATATTTTTGAAAAGTGGATGTTTTAGCTGACTTGCCACACCATTTCACAGGACAGGAAGCCATTTCTAATATATTTTGATATAAAACTAATTTAAAGAACTCAGACGTGCATACGGGTCGTGCAACTTGGTCGTTACTAATGTCGTGATTCTTAGCGTCACCTATGCTTGCTACAGCTAGTATGTGTGGCGCGCCTTTGTGGCCCTGTATGCGGAATCTATTAGGAGGTAATCTGTTATCTACAGTCTATCGGCTCAATTTACATCGTTCAAAATCCTCCTAAATTATGCAACTAATTCTGATGCGGTTTTCACCATGAGTCAGTCAATTTTTCCATGAAGATTTATAAGCAAAACCTAACAAAAATTGTATGTATCATGCTATGCGAACATCTGAACTAATTTTTGATAAGAGTAAAAACTTACTGAGCTTCCGGTAAACAAGTAGAAGGCTGCGGAACACTTTGAACCATGTGAACCGAATGATTTACATGAGACGAAGGAGAAGAGATGCTTGTTGTGACGTTGGGTAGCGGTTGGGGCACGGTCGTACTGGGTACGGCTGCCGCGGCCGGCGGAGCCACACTCGCGGTTGGAGCGCTGGTGACTGTGGTTGTGGTAGCAGCCTGTGGTGAGGATACTGTCGTTCTCGGTTCATCCGCTACGGGTGCGGTGACATCCCCCAAATCTGGAGCCTCTCGTCGCGATTTATCTACCTTAGCATATTCGTCCTCAACCGGCGACAGGTCCGATAGGTCGCTATCTGAACTCCATGGATCTGTAAGTGATAACGCTATATTAAAAAAAGAGAGATATCAAATGTTGAAGAAGCTCATGAGGTATTTGAAAACATAAATAGCGTGTTATTGTTTCTACCATCTCAAGGGAGTAGAACATGAGTTTATGTACATATGCATTTATCTATTTCATCTGATTTTATACCTACATAGTACATTCACCAATAAATAAAGAAAAAGTTTCAATATGTTGAATAGTACCAAAATGTGTATTTAAAGCGAACAAACATAAATGCATTCTTGCAACCAATTAATCAGATAATTACAGTCAACGACTATAGCTCACCTGGTTATGGTTTGCCTATGTTAGGTAAACATGATACATACTGTTTTAGATACAGTTAGATACTGTTGGCAGCTGCGATACTGACTGTTTATTAGAAGCGGGTCCGGGTCCGGACGACGCGGCAGCGGAGGGGTCTCACGCCTCGCAGAAGGTTCGTGAGGTAACATCACGGGCAAGCCAGCCTTTTTTTGCGTTTCCTAAAATTATTAAGTAATTTTTCATCTTGCATAATTCTCAATTATACTTTATACATTGGATATTAAATAAAGTAGTGGTTTAAGGTAGCAATCAATATACATAGGCAAATCATGTAATTACTTCATTAAAGTAATATGGTAATATATTATTATGTATATACTATAGGCATAATATCACTCGGAGTATTGTAGAGATTTGAATATCTTTCCCGATAAAGTATTCCTTTAGGGAGATCATAGACTATGTAATATCAAGTTACGACTCGGAGCAGAGTAGTGATCACAAAGGCAGGTTTCGGTTAGTACAGTACATATATAAAACGTTCATGAAACGAAAGAAGACGAAAGCAAGATCTGTCCAGTTACAGTATTGTATATAGATTAGTATATTAAAGAAAAGCAACCAGGAGTATAACTCGATACCGGCAACGGTCAGTCGGAGTTACTCGTATCTGATCGTACGCACCAGCAGCAGCACCTCGAGGCGCGCGACGCGGTCGTGCAGCGCGGAGAGCGCGGCGGCGTACTCGCGGTGCGCGTCGCGCAGCGCGGCGCTCCACCACTCCTCGCGCGCCCGCACCAGCGCGCGCGTGCGCCGCCACTCGCGCAGGGCGCGCCGCGCCTGCCGCCCGTTACACGCCTCAGTACCACACCACCGATACGTTTTCGATTCGACATTTATCGAAATGAATACGCAGTTAGCGAATGACACTATTTCATTTTGCGTCACAGAAGATTTTTTTAATTTAATTTAAAAAAGACAACGCCCGCATTAGGAATAAATCCTGTGTCGCGGGGGACTTTACAAACATACATGAAACGGACACAAAGGACACCCAGACTCAGAACAACAATTTGTGGATCACACAAAGTGTCGTCCCATGTGGGGTTTGAACCCACAACACTCGGCGTAGTAGGAAGCGGCGTGGCGACCGCTTAAACCACTACGCCATCCGTGCAGTCTAATTCAGATTATGTCTATATAATTATAATATACGGTGAAATATGAATGACCGGGTGAAGTGGGTGAACTTGAAGAGGTATTTCATTTACTCACTGTCTTAGATATCGAGGTTTAAATAATTATCTATCCTATTTCCGAGCAGTACCATTATAAGATATGAATTATTAACTGAAATTGCGCGTCATTTGAATATTACAAATAAGTCATACTCTTATTAACAAATTGTAATAATAGGTGTATATAAATAAAACCTAGGTGATTTCATATTTTAGCTAAAACGATAAATTTTTCAAAATTATTAACACTTCCTTTCAAATAAAATCAATTATTGTTATTAATCGGATCGTTAACTTTTAGTATTAATTTAATTGAATATTTATAGAACTACTAGAAAGAAAATAATGCGTGGATAGAATTTAAATATTTATCGTCCATAGAGATAAGTACAGAGAGAACACAGAGTACAGCTACCTGTAAGTGGAAGCGATACAGGCAACGAGAGAGATGGTCACCCTTTCTTCTATCTCAGTTTAACTGAGCTGCGATTGCCTAATTATTAACCCCCCTTATATTCCCCAGCCAACCATAGAGTTGACTATAAAGAGATAGAGGCATCTATCTGTTATCCATCTCTTTTGTTGCCTATTTTGCAAAATCGGGGCTCTCGTTATCTCTATGTTATCGTCGGACCTTCGGTCTCACAACAAAATTGAAAGGTTCGAACCGAAAGTCGCTTCAGTTAATTTCGTCATAGAAAATCTAAATATCGTTACTCGATACGACAAAAGTAAAAGTCTAAAGAAAGGAACGCCGAGTCCAATGTTTTTAAGAAACATGTGGCAGTAGACCTTCGTAAGAGATAGCGAGCAGGGCGGTATAGGTGGACGTACCTTGTCGTACTTGGCGTGGGCGCGATGCGCGGCGTCGGCGGCGTGCGCGAGCGCGGCGCTGGGCGCGGGCGCGGCCGAGCGCGCGCCGCACCACGCGCGCAGGCGCGCGCCGATCTCGTCCGCGCTGCCGCCGCCCGACTCCATGCCCATCAACTGCACCACGTACTTACATATACTAACCATCTACTCGAGCACTACGTATACGTATAAAAATATACTTCATGTGAATTTTAATCACTAAAAAGTTGTCACTTTTCATGCCCCGAAAACTTCTAAAACGTATGTGCGCAGTAGCCGTTGATATGTTTTTACGAGAAATTTTAGCCAGTTATATATCACATATCGTAACCAATTTTAATTTTAAAAAAACAATACGCAGCTATGTTAAGCTTTCTATTTACGTCTACAGTTAAGATAAAGACAAGTTTGTAAGTTTCTAAGTTGTCTTAAATAAATAAAACGAATGCGCGTTTAGAAAATTTGTGTTGTTGGAACTAAGAACTAAACTGCGATAAAACAAAATTTCTACACATGTATCAACTAACTATTATAAACTAAATGATATGAGTCTCCGAGGTAAGCTATACATTCCACAACTGTTTGACTAGCACTTCTAATATTTGCACCTTATGAAAATCAAAGTAATCAGGACAATTTTTTTCTAAAACATTTGTACGTAATTGTTCATATAACGAACAATATTATAAAAATTACAGTTTGTCCTGATTACATTGATGTTCATCAGAGTAATCTTATAAAAAAGAATAATAGTAAATTCAAACTAATATTAATATTAACGTTCATGTTATGATACGTAAGATGCAAACCATTCTGAGAGTCAGAAGTCTTCCCCGTTGGCTTATTAAAGGCGTTCTAGTTACACTTCGCACAACAGAAACCAAATACTACACTAGTAATACCATAGTAAATATAATATGCAATTCAAGAGAATAGATACATAAATATATTGAAATAGCAAAATATTTGTGTACTTTAAAAGGGAAGGAACAGGAATGTTCAACATACAGACCTCCTGAAGAAAACCTCTTAGTTCGTTGATTTCGGGATTTCTCGTTTGCGGTGGAGTGGGTTCGGCAGACGTAGTCTGATTGGAATCTATTTCCTCTGTTTGTTGTCGTCTCTGACGTTCACGAGATGCTCTGTAATAATATCACTACGTCACAGTGTTATCGATGTATTATATTTTTACGGTAATTTAGAGTGATAGACTTACCGTTCTTCTCTCTCCTTATCGGCAGCAAGCGACTGCCTTATGAGGTGTGCAACTTCACTATTTTCAGGGTCCTTTTCTCGTCCGATAAGGAACTTCACCGGCCCCGAAGTGTTCCGTAGCACCGATGCCGCATACGCTTGAGTAACTCCAACCTACAAATCATTTACATACACATGCATTTTTTGTAATGTACTATAATAGATATGACACACTGATTTGTAATAAACGCTATAGGCATTTCCATTTCCGGTGTTTGGATCCATTGTTCGAAGGCAAAGAAACATCTGTCATCGCTTATCTCATATCAACAATATACTAAACGTAAACAACAACGATACACCTGTATTGTTTTAATGTTCCGATATATGTTTATTTGTGAGAGTGAAGTAGAAGGTGCAGGTAGTGACTGACCAAGCTCTTGCCGTCCACTTCGATGATCTGGTCGTTGACCTGTATGCGGCCGTCCCGCGCGGCGGCGCCACTGTCGGTGATGGTCTTCACGAATATGCCCAGCTTCTCCAGCCCCGCGTCCGCCCCCACGCCCATTCCTGACGGAGACATTACTTACGCTCAGTATTAAACATCGATAGAATTCACTGCACACTATCAGCATACCAAAGCAGACTAGATTATAGTATTTAGGCGAATTAAATGAAAACGGTATAACTGCAAGTAATTATATTACTATTTCGAAATTTTACATAATTGTATATAAATAAAATACTAGATGAAAGTTGTTACTAGAGGTCTAAACGACTTACCTATAATAGAGAGCCCCAGGCCATCGGCACCTTTGACCAGATCGACCGGGAAGACGTGCATCTTTTCGACTCGTTTCTCGAGCTCGTACTCGGCGCTGGCGGCCACGGGATCCACGTCCTCGTTGCGCCGGTCGTACTCGCGCACTGAATGTGTCGAAAACACTCTCATTGGCTCCGTACTGAAAGTCATAGTAGAGATAGTTTGGTAAATAATAACAACTGCTCGCGGTTTGGTTATTGTTTATAGAGGCCGTACAATGGGTTTGCGGAAGCAAAAAAAATCGATTCTCCCGTCTAAACAAAAATAAGGTAAGTAGAAAAGTAAATTAAGTTTTCCACTAAAACGATTATGAAATAGTTATAGGCACGGACATACTTCTTATACTCGTACCTGAATTTGACTTTGGTATTTTTCCTAACAAATACTGGCGGATAGTAATCGTCGTCTTCATCTTCTTCGATAGGCGGCAGTCCTGCTACCTAAAAATTATGACAATGCTTGTGTAACAAATGAAACTAAAATTACAATAACCTACAGGCAAATTTGTAAAACCCATTAATCAAACACTTGCCCTAAATGACAATATAACCTATATAAAGGATAACTAAAATTGGGAAAGAAAAATCATTTTTAGCATACTATTTAACATTATCAACAGGCTTCATAAGTTCACTGCTGGACACAGGCCTTAGAAAAGAGGTTTAAGGTTTAGCGTAACATTAATTAATGATGAATAATCTTAAATTAATTTAGTTGCCCAAAATATGAAATAGTTAATCAAATGTGTGTGAAACTCATTTCTTATTTATTTATACTTATATGTAATGTTTTTAAGTGTTTAATCAAACTACTATCTAAGAATTTGGATTGGAATCAATAGTCTTGGTTAATGATATTCACAACTTTTTACGCTTTCGTTTAAATTGTAAACGTAAAAAAATCGTTGCACTGACCTCTGTATAGAAATGTCCGTCCTCAAAGTAATGTATACCGTTTTCCTCGCCCAGTTCCCTGAGCGCTTGCGGCGGGTAATGTTCGAATACATTGTCGTGCTCCGGTTCAGCTGCGGCCACCGGCGCTTCTGCTTGTTTACGATCGCCGCCAGCCAGGCCAACGTCTCCTTCCATTGATACGAATTCATAGCTCTCATCCACGGACTGCATACTGAAATATCATTGTACATTATTTTAATCTTGTCAATATTTTGCTGTTCAGAAAGTAATATTGATAATGAAAAAATATGTGCATGACGGCTTTTTTCTTAAGAAGTATTCAGAGAATAATAGTCACGTTGTTATGGTTCAAGTGCGGTCCATTAGTTTTATGGAATAGGCAAAACTGTGGTGTATAAATAAACAGAGCATTTCTATGCATAATCTCCTTAACGCGGATTTCTACTCCAGAATGAGAGTACATCATCGTGTATATAACACACTGCAATGTAACTTTTTCGATGAATATATATTAAAAATATTCAAGAGTTAATTGCCCTATATGCACTATGCACACTAAAATGCACACGAAATTACTTACATAGGTATCACCATAGTTATATAAATGTAGGAGGACTAATTGCATGGGACGACATTTGATGAAATAATGTAAATCTATTATTTAGACTTTTGTTAAATTAAATGTTTATGTAGAATCCTATTTATTATCAGTAAGGTATTCTTATTTTATAAAAAAAACTAGATATTTTATAAATTTAATTGTTTCTTATTAAACATTTCCGTAGAAAATTCGCTCGCTCAAATATAGTGATTGTGTTCTTTACCTCTCGTATGAGAGCACGGACTGGTAGCTGTCATTGAGCGAGACTCCATTGTCCTGCGGAAGAGCGTGCGGCGACAACATCGCGACGATCTCCTGCGCCTGCTCGTCCGATAGTAGAGCTTCTTGTCTGAAAATAACAGCATATTAACTCAACAAAATATATCTACACGTTTGTGAAGAACACTATCTAAAGCTCTTTCTGTTTCTTCTATCTTGTCACGTCCCATTTGTAACAGTGAAAAGACTATTTACCGATTACTATACTGACATTACTTAACGCATTTTGTACTGCTCAACCAGCAAAACTAACCTTATCGACATTGCATAGTGCAAAACTTTTTTGTCGATTTACACGTGTACATACATGCCACTTAGTGTTCTAGACAGTGAGCGTGAAAAGTGCAATCTATGTAAATTATAATTAAAGATAACAAATTAATAATATTCAGGTACGGACTATTTACATGCATGCGTCATAAAATATCTGCGCATCCACGCCTACTATTAGCGTTCTCAGAAGACTGGCATCGTTGCCACTTTAAATGGCGAATTTTAATTCTGCGCTACAAAAAAAAATTCGACAACTAGCCAAGACAAGTGTCAATCAGTCGCTTAGGTACTTTCTTATAAACGCAACAAGAATTCTCAACCCCAAACGGCTGGAAAATGTGATTAACGAATAAATTATTGTAATTATGGCGTTTGAGACTTTCGGCAGGTGCAGCAGCAGTGCTTGGAAGATGTGAAAAAGAACTAAAAGTATCTATCTATTCAAAGTAAAGTCATTATTATACAGAATGTTACATGATGTTGTCAGACTTTAAGAGCAGACTATTTAAACTATTATTTAATTATTATTTTTTGCTTTTTACTTTGGTCATGCAAATCGTGTCTTCTAAATTTCAATCAACATTCTTATATTTCTGTCAGTCACAAAATAGTCACTCAACAATACATGCAAACCATAACGTTGGATAATAAACATACATAAAATGATATTTAGAAAAATAATGCAGCACAAAATATATAAGCAGTCTACAAACTACATACTAGAAGAGAGTGACAGTGGTACAAATGCCCTGAGCTTACCTAAGTTTTTTCTCCAGAATACTGCAAATATCAGGCAATAATGAAGCGTTGTGCGGACAGGCAGCATGCAAATGATAAAAAATACAACATTTAATCATGTACTAAGCATTACAAAAGTCAAATTCTGTAAATTTAAATAAAAACATTACGATGTATACATTGATGCAATTACTTTAATACAATACACAATAATTTGATACAACATAACCTTTTTTTTTTAGTCAAAAAAAGAAGGAAAGAAAAGAAGAACTCTCAAAAAGCTGATTTCTACGACATATGACCTTGAATATCTAAGGACGCTGACACGTGACCATATGTGAAATTTAAGAGACAACATTTGAACTATGTATACTATCTGTACTAGTATTCAGCTTATTCCGTTGGATTCCGGAGTGAAACCCTAATGATGGCCACAAAAAAACATGTAGTGAAGAGATTGTAGGACGAAATAAAAGTACAATTTAAATTTTTATTAATATATTTAAAACTTAATGCACATTTTGTACAAAGGCGGACTTAATGCCATGGGGCATTCTCTCCCAGTCAACTTTTAGGTGCTGTAGATGCAAATAAATAATAATTAAATTTAACACAATTTAAGTCTAGATCCAATTTTTATTCAAATTGCGAACTTCTTCAAAATATTATATTTATTTATTTAATTTATTTATCATTAATATGAGATTATATTAAATATCTTGAATAAAAAAACTACTACTCTCCAAGCATATTCGATTCGTATACAAGTGAATTTAAAGAGTCGCAACACTACGGTAAAGGTATTTAGGTAACTACTTGACTTTAAAACCAAGTCAAAAAAGCTATCTATTCTATTATTGGATGTTTTGCTTTGTTTAAATTTCATAATTAAGAATTGTACATCTTGTGAAAAAATAATAAGTTTTATTTTTCCATGATTTTACGGAAAAGGTTATCGAAATAATGTGTGACGCCAATACAAAATTGTTTCAGCTTGAACCGTGAAACGGTACTTCTTAATTTAGATGGACTGGACGTCATCACATCAGTGATTAAGTGTTGATAAATTATGGCAGGCACTGAAAAGACAGAAAGTACAAATCTATCAAGAATTAACGCTTTGATTTTAGGAATATTTCATAAATCTCAATTATTATTGTGATTAGTTACGGCCTGTTAAAACATTGACGTACGTAGTCTTGTATTTCCCACGCTAAGGGTAGTAACTTATTTTTAAATGCAATAATATAATTTTTTACTAAACATATAGTCTTTCTTTACTGCCGAGATGACGTGGCGTCGTGGCGAATTGCAATATGCCGCTAGGCTCACATCATTTAACGCGGAAATTTGAAACGCAAATTGGAAATGCATTTAATTGACACTTTTCGACTGAACAAAATCATAGTAACTTTAACTTAAAAAATCTTAAACGGGATGTAATGTCCTATAATATTTGATCAATCATAAAATGAAAAGGTACGGGATATGCGTTAGGAACAGAAACGAAATAATAGACTATACAGTATTTACTTCAAAAATATATATCTATTTAATTGTAGAATATTAAATAATAAATATCTCACACATCTCACACACGGCCGTCTGATCCTAAACTAGGCATAGCCTTTTTTTTTTTTTTAACGTGTTGAAATCCCCTCGGACCGTCACCCCACCGGGGTTTACGGCGGGGTGGTGTGTCGGACTTGGACCGACTAAAACCACACGGTGTGCCACTCTGCGCCTGTAACAGGAGGGATCCGGGAACAGCTGTTATTAAGACATCCGGACCCCTCCTAGCGCCAGCCCGCTCCTGGTGCGGGCTCCGTCTCAAAATTTTCCTCTCTTTAGTCGACGTCCGGCACACGCGGACGCCGCCCCCTCGCCGCTGGCCAAACTAATGCGGGTGGAGGGGAAACCCACCCCGTCCACCCGCGGCCACACTCAGGGCGGCATGAGGCGATGATAAGCGCGCCTCCGCCGCCCGGTTCGCCGGCGGCGGATCGGGTCCGAGTGGAGGTCGTCCTCCCGGGCCTTCTCCGCCGCCTCCTTCTGCGAGATTACTTCCTCGCAGAAGGTTGCGACCGCGGTAAAACAACTGTCGCTACCGGCCATGGAGCGTACTACGGCCGGTAGCGAGAGATCCACTCCGATGACTGCAGTGAGGGCCCGGCGCTGCGTCGCCCATGCGGGGCAGACCGCCAGCGTGTGCTGGGCCGAGTCCTCACTGCAGTCGCAGTGGTGGCAGGCGGGACTCAGTTCCCTCCTAGCGACCGAGTGCAGGTACTTTCCGAAGCAACCGTGCCCGGAAAGCACCTGCGTCAGCCGGAAGGTAAGGGTCCCGTGCTGCCGCCCTGCTCACTCGGCGATGACCGGCTGGAGAGCCTCCACGGCGGCGAAGCCAGCGCGTGGAGTCTCCAGCCGGAACGACCAACGAGCCATCGTGGCTCGTACATTTTTTAAATACATACATACATATTATAGATAAATTACACCACGGCACAGAAGAAATGACCATGCTCATTTTACAATATTTGTGCTGGGGAATCAAACCCACGATCTCCGGTTTAGCAGTCACGCTCACTAACCACTAGACCAACAGACTTAAAAAAATACGTGTTGAAAAATGATAAACACTATGCGGAGGATAACAATATTAAATAATAAATACTTAAAATAGAAACCCAACACACGGTGCATAACAAAATAAACATAACTATAAAATTAAGAAGTACTACGAGAGACATCATGACATGAAGAGAGGTATTGACAAATAATATGCAATTACATATTATAACCCAATTGGTATATACGCCTGAAATGGTTCACTAATGTTTAAAAATAAAACAAAAACGACAAACAAACACTTAACACTTAATCTTCTCAAAGTATGTGACAGTCATATTTGTCGTTTTATGGAAGATCAAAATCGTTGGAAGCAAAAAATTTACATTCTTCTACTACAACTAAACGAGGCTGATCCTCCCTACCTACCTTAATGAAATTTGTAGAATTCAATTGAAATCTTCTAATCTAGAGCTAGGGTAGATACTTGATTTCGTTATTGAGGTTACCTTGAGCTAAGAAGTATCTCTGCCTCGTCGGGAGTCATGCTGTCCGGCTGTTTAGATTCAGCGTCACCGTCGTCCCAACGAGCGTCTGTCTGTTCACCGCGGCCACTCTCGCCTGACGCGTTCTCGCCTTCCGAAACACTCCATTGGCTGGTGGTCGACTTGTCGAGCACCTCTATGGAGCCTTGGCTAGCCTCACTAACGACTACACCCGAATCCTGAGTTCAAATATGATAAAAATAGATTCACTTTATAAATGTTAATTTTTGATTTCCATAGTATCAGTTTGATCTCAAAAAACATATTTGAGACTTCAGACCTTTTTTAGAAGTTTTTACTGTAAGACCTCAAAAAAACTCTTAATAGTAATCAAAAAAGAAAAAAAAACATTGTCTAAGTTATGAGCTAAAGGACAAATAAAAAAATTATCACTACCAAACTTGAAGAAGAAATTCGATATCAATTAAAATCCATACATTAATTGCTATAGGTTTCCTATGACGTGGTAATAATGTAACACCCAAAATACTATACCACTAGGTATACAATAAGATATACAAAGTATTGAAAATATATGCCGTATCGTATACAGTGTCAAACTCTACTAGGACAATATTTAGGTACATATTTAGGACAGTTCTAAGTATTATTAACCCCCAAATTTATTGTTTTTTTTATATTTTTGTGTGAAAATCTTAATGCGGTTCACAGAATACATCTACCAACTTTCAACAGTACAGCTCTTATTGTTTCCGAAAAAAGTGTCTGTGACATACGGACGGACAGTCAGAAAGACATGACGAATCCATAAGGGTTACCGTTTTTTGCCATTTGGCTACGGAACCCTAAAAATCGGACATCTTATGTTTTTTTACATTTATCGATAAACGAAGTCGTTTTCAATGGAAGAGTAGAACGTCCCGTACGACACTTGATTTAAACATAAGATATTTGAAATTAAAGTATTTCTATGGAAAAAAAAAAAAACACTTTTTATTTTCTTATAGGATATGTAATTATATTAACAAACATGATTGTATGCAACTTAAAAAACCTCAATATTCTATGCTTAAATAGAACGGAGAATTTTTTTTTCTTGTTTTAAGTTTTATTTTTTATTTCTTTATGAGAAAGAATTGGGATCCTATTTTTGCTATGGTCACAGTTTATCTAAATATGCATCACCAAAAAAAACAAAGTATTACTAAGACTACCTGATTACCGATTAAATTTTCGGTTAAAATACGATATAATCACATTACAGTCCACGTTGGATGTTTAATACTTTACTACGAAAATACCTCATATGACAGTTGTGAGATCGAAAGTTGATCGAAACCGAATTGAGACCGAACTTTCATTACAAGAATTAGACCCAGGTCTCACACCTAGCTCAGGCAAAATATTTGTAATATTTTGATTTTAACTTTTTTTTCTATTCACACTTGTACGTTTTAAAATAGTCATATACTAGTTTTATGTTTAGTAACAATTTTTATATAAGAATCCAATGACAATAAGATGTAAATTCGTAGACGTATTCTGATTCTGCAAATAAATTTTATTTTATTTTTTATTTAAAACTAGGGTTATTGTTAACCCATCCATGTAAAGTGAATGCTCGTGTCGTTTGCGGGTAGTGCTTCTCTGGATTTAGTGTGAACTAAAATCCACTTAACCACAAGTCGATGCATTCGTAATTACGCCGCCCCCGCTTATACTCCATTCCCTTTTTTTTCCCTCGAACACCACCCACCGGTGGTTATGTCGGACTCGAACCGAACAAAATCAGCACGCCGTCTCGGGTAAAACTAAACCTATTTGTTTTCTAGGAAAATATTAACCAATACCTGCTGCAGTACGGAGAGCGTGTCGGGATCGGAGCGTGCTCGCTCAGCATCTCGTATGTCTGTGGTAAGCGGGGGTGCTGGAGACGGCGGCTCACGGTACTCCGCGGGTCGCAGCCGCGCCACCACCTCAGGTGAGGGTTCATTGAACCCGCCCTCGTCTGAAACGCTTGATGCACGTGATCCGCTGCGACGCGGTGGCGTTTCTTCCGCCTCTGACGACTTGCGACCTCCGCCCGCTTAAACGATACAGTGCATAGTTATGTATTAAAAGACATAGTTCAGTCCAAGAGAAAAACTTAAGAGCGAAGTGAATACGACCAGATTAAGTTTTTAGTTTTAGCAAACACCTCCCAAAAGATTTGAGAAATAAAATGATTCTGCATTGAAACTGTTTGATACTAAGAACACTTTTGAAAAAGAATGCATTTATTTACAAAAGTGTTCTTACTAAAATAGAAGGAACAAGGGCCTAGCATATTTGAATACTTCTATTCAAATTGGAGTTGCCCAACGGGCGAAACACTGGCAGACTACGCGCTGGTTTAATATCTCAGTAGTATAGAAAAACATTCGACTTAGGCAAGTAGTAAGAAATCGTAAAGCATTCAGGTAACGAGTACGAGCAAATTTAGGCTAATGAGAAACTATTTTTAAAATAGTAACTCACATACATACTCTACTTCCGCAGGACGGTAGCAAGAACATAGGTGCCCAATATAAACAAATATAAATTTGGTTAGACTATATTTAAAGCAACCGCAATTGAAGCTTCCGAATTAAACCATTATTCCGAGGGCGAGTCTGGGCGAGGGCGGGGTTGGGTGTGCTCCAATAGGCCAAGATCGCCTGGAGCAGATCCAATCCTGGTACGCCCTCCTGTCCGGAGGGCGTGCACGGCGAATGGTCATGGGGGAGAGCGCAACAGTCGTGTAGATCCCCATGGCAAGTCTGGGTGTCATCCTTCCCGTGGTTGCCGCCTGTTTTAGGTCTGATTCCCTACGAAACAGATATAACAGAAACACCCAGACGCAATTCCATCCCACAAAACCTATCCTTTCCCATTTCCTATCCCATCCACACCTACTGCGGACACTAAGTGGTTGGTGCCTGCGGCCTCACTATCAACAAAGACTGAGAGTGAGGGGGAGGGGGGGCAACCACCCGCATGTTTGTGCCGTGTGCGGGGACCCGTAAGGGAGGATGAAGGGATCCTGGTAGTTGAGCTGAAAGGCAACACACTGCTTCGGCCTGGATTTCTCTTTACACGGGAGGCTGAAGGCTAGCCACCTTTGGTCAATCGGCTGTAGTATCCCGTCAGAGGGCTGCTGGGCGAGAGCTCTTCCTTGGTGGGGGTGGACGACGGGTGGGACGACCAAGTCTTCCTACCTAGTTCGGCCTGCCTTCTGCCAGGGAGGGAGCTCTATATTTCCTTGTTACTTCTGGCGTCGTGTGCCTTCTGCCGCGGCGTCCCCACTTGAGGGCTCCAAGGAGGGTGGAAGGACAAGGAGATGAATAGTATACCAAACACATCATGGATACTAAAAACACACGTACAAAAAAAACCACCAAGCCGGCACCGAGGGTGAACAACCCAAGTGCCAGGCTAAACCACCAACCGGCTGACCCCAGGGTGAACAACCCAAGGGTGAATCCGGCAAACACACCTTCGGCTGCTGCTCAGGCAAACAACCCGACCGCAGCGCCATCCACGACTCTGGCGACACCTCTGGTGTCTAACCAGAATACGGAGCCAGTGTCGACCATCGACCTCTCCTCTTTGAGGGCAGCAATGCCCGTACCTGCGGGACCCGGCCTGGAAGAAACCGGCTGGAGCCTGGTAAGGACAAAGAAGAGAGCGTCGAAAAAACCGAACCCGTCCAAGAAGACCCGTAACGCCAACAGGGCGAAAGCCCGAGTGGAAAGGCAAGCACGGTGTCTGACCTCGGGTGGAAGTAAGCGGCTTGAAGTCGCTGAAGGGCCCGAAGGGGCCCACGTTGCCCCCGCCAGTGATGTGCTGCCCCGAGGCGAAGACGAAAGTCAAGCCACGGGGAAGTGTACTCCTGTGGGGGCGCCACCTGCCAAGACGCCTGTAGCGGCCAAAGTACCCTCTAGGCAGGGTCAACCTGGACAGGGTAAACGGGCAAGACGAGCGACACGTGGAGGGAAACCTTCGAGTGAAACAAAGCCCGTCAAAAGAACTCGCCCGGACGAGTCTCGCACTCCCCAGGGCAGTGGCAAGCGATTCAAACCGCTGCCAAAGACCGGCTCCACGAGTTACTCCGACGCACTAAAGGCGAATGACCTTTGCGTCGCGGTCATGCTGGAGCCTTACCACGACCTCACCAAGGCACAGGCAGAGGACATCGAGGGCCAGCTGCAGGGCGTGCTAGATGAGGAGATCTTCTCGCCCGGCACGTCAAGCGCACCCGTCGCTGCGCCACAGTTTAGGGGCAAGGCCTTCTACAGTGAGGGCGCCCTTAAGATGTGGTGCAACGACGAATATGCCCTACAGTGGCTTCGCCGATCCCTGGTAAGGATCCCATCACCACGTGAAGGCACCAAACTGGTCGTCAGGAGGCAGTCTGAGATCCCGAGAAGGATCAAGGCTGGACTCCTGGTACCACAAATCGGACCAGATGATACACTGGTCCGTATACAAACGAGGCTAAAGTATCAGAATAGCCAGTACAATGTGGCCAACTGGGCCCTCTACCATGCCGAGGCGCAGGAGGAAAAGAAATGTCTCTTCCTAGTGCTCGGCATCCCAGAAGAGGACGTCGTGAAGCTCAAGGCTAGCGAGCGTAGAGTATACTACAAACTGGGTAACCTCTACGTTCGCTTCCTCGATGAACGTCCCGCCCCACCAACTAACCCAGACGAGGAGCCAGAATCGGCCCCACAACACCGTAAGGACGGCAATGGAGGGGATCCTCTGATGCCCGTTGAGGAGACAGCCTGCCGGGGTCCACCTCCTGAGGAGTTGAAGGACCTACCGGTGGGCGAGAGTGACCTCGACGACATAGAGGACATGCTGAACAGCGATGATGGCGCTGTCTGCACCCCCCCATAACACCCTTATAGCCATCCAAACCAACCTCCAGCACAGCCATACAGCAACGGCTAACCTACGCAGAGAGCTGGAGGTAAAAACCAACACCGTAGCCCTAATCCAGGAGCCGTGGATTAGGAAGGGCAGGATCTGCGGTCTAAACAATATTGGAGGTAAGATACTTCTCAACACTACCATTGATAACCCGCGCACTTGTATTTATACACCAAAACATGCGTGTACTACCTTAATGACCGAGTTCTGTTCCAGAGACCTTACCTCTATTAGGTTAAAGGAACCCTCATCAAACCTTCCTGACGTGGTGATAGCATCAGCCTACTTGCCGGGCGATGCTGACATCCCCACTCCGGAGCTGGCTGCGCTGGCACACCACTGCGAGCGTGAGGGTCTGGAGCTGATCATCTCTGCCGACACCAACGCGCACCATGCGCTGTGGGGCAGCAGGAGCAACAACCGGAGAGGTGAGGAATTTGTATCGTTCCTATTATCAACTAACCTTAACATTATCAACGTGGGCTCGGAGCCGATATTTGTCACATCCAGGGCCCAAACTATAATTGATCTTACTTTAGCAAGTGAGCACGCATCGCAACACATATCGAACTGGCATGTTTCGAACGAAGCATCGTGCTCAGACCATCGCTGGATCAAATTTAACTTTGAAATGAAACTTAAACTACCCGATCCCCGACGGAATCCCCGCACGATGGACCGGAAACGGTATGAACATCTTACTGCGGAGAATCTGCGAAGCATCAACCCAACATATGCTACGGGGACTGTTAAGGACATTGACAGTCATGTTGTCAACCTTACACAGACACTGATCGATAGCTTTGAACAAACATGCCCACTTTCCACACCCAGAACTGGACCACAGAACAAACACCAATGGTGGGGTCCGGAACTGGAAAGACTACGTCGTAAAGTGAGAAAGTTGTTCAATAAAGCAAAAAACTCGCGATTAGACCAACATTGGGATGCCTACACGCAGGCCCGACAACAATATAAGAAGAGAATCAGAACCAGGAAAACTGAGTGCTGGAGAAACTTCTGTACTAACATAGAAAACAACAACCAGGCTAATAGAGTCAAAAGCATACTGTGTAGTAGAGGCGATCACAATCTTGGCTCACTGAAGAAGCCTGATGGTGAGTATACCAAAACAGACTCGGAAGCCTCAGAGCTGTTATTAAAAACACACTTCCCTGGATGTCGCATTTCAGATGTGATGGAAAAATGGGAAGACAGATGGGAAAAACCACCAGATGATACAGACTGGGATACGGCCCGCAAAGTTGTCAATCATGACAAACTAAGATGGGCAATTAACAGCTTCCTACCATTCAAGGCGCCAGGACTAGATGGTGTCTTCCCAGGCCTACTGAGATGGTGTGATATGACACTACTGGACCATCTTGTAAAAATTTATAGGGGCTGCCTGGCGCATCAGTACATCCCCTTGAAATGGAGAGAAGTCAAAGTAGTCTTCATCCCCAAACCTGGTAAAGGTGACTACACACAACCCAAATCACACCGACCTATTAGTCTCACATCTTTTCTACTAAAGGTTCTCGAGAGGCTAATAGATAGGGAAATCAGGGAAACTGCGTTAGTCAGTCACCCTCTACACCTCAATCAACACGCATACTCGATGGGTAAATCAACAGAATCTGCCCTACATCGAGTTGTTTCATATATAGAAGACAATCTAAATCACAAAAGGTCAACACTGGCTACCTTTATCGATATCGAGGGAGCCTTTGACAAGACCAACTTCACCAGCATTAGCCAAGCTCTATCTAGGCATGGTGTTGATTCCACAATCTCAGGGTGGATCGATAGCATGCTAAGATATAGAGCTATTCAATTCACTGTGAGCGAAGTGACTAGAGGAGTGGTGGCTAGAGGTTGCCCCCAGGGCGGTGTACTCTCCCCTCTTCTATGGAACATTGTTGTGGATGAGCTCATCGCACAACTTAATGACCAAAGATTCCTCACAATAGGCTATGCAGACGATCTTACTATTCTTATCAGCGGTCCTTTTGAGAGCATTACATGCGATCAAATGAGACTTGCACTGAAGATCGTGGAACAATGGTGCGTAGCACACAACCTGACAGTGAACCCATCCAAAACAGAGATGATCATGTTCACAAACAAACG